TTTGATAGAGTCCTGGATTCCACCCTACCTAACTTACTACCTCCACTTTCCTTAGGAACTTGCTTATGCTTTTAGCAACTGTTTCCTCACATACAAACAGTGACAATGCCAAGGTCACATGGTGAAGTGAGAGTCCATGTTAACTGAAAAGTAATAAGCAAATATTAACATTATTAATACTCAAAAGTTCTCTTAGAGCATAGTTTTCGCATGCTACTTCAGACTCCTGTTTTTACTAAGCAGTTTTTTTCTTTTTCTGAAAAATCCTGGAATAATTGAGAAAATTAAAATATAATGACTTTGAGATGTTTCTTATAAAAGAAGAAAACATTTTAAATCAAAGCAGAGCAATATGAAACAAGAAAAAGAGAATAAATTCTCAAAGACAAAGCTGTATAGCTAAAAATTAATTTTTAAAGTAATAATTTGAAGTCTTTTGTATGGTTTAACTACAAAACATATACTTTAAACAGGATTTCTGTACCACTTACATAACTAATTTAGTTCCCACATTCCAAAAGGTAAAGAATTATAAAGTGTTTAATAAAAAAATGGCAGATGTATACAAATACTTTTATCATGGAAATAAATACTAAAATTTCTTTTTGAGGCATTCAAGCAACACATTTGCAACCCATACTCCCACAAACCTGAAAATCATTACTATTTTTTACAAAGTCCTTGGCAGAGTACCGTAACAAATGCTCCAATTCTGATATTTCATCTGGAAATATCCATTTGATTTCAAAGTTCCCCAAACCACAGGGACACATGGCAATAATACAGGATTTGGGGCTGCTGTTTTTAAAAAACAACTTTGGCTACTTTGGGATAACTTATTTTATTTCATTTTTATATACCTGAGAAATGTAAGTTAAAAAAATGGAGGGAGGTCCTTTGAACTTAGAATGCATTTTCCACTTAAAAAAGAAAAGTTATGACATATAGGAAGATACAAACTAGCCTTACTGTACATACATACCTTACTGTATGTCGCAACATTTTTTAAACAACTGAAACATTATTTGTAATGAAAATACTAGAGAAAGACTCCTGTAACAATAAAATTGGATCCTTCTAAATGAATTGAATGACAGTTCAATCTCTCCTAAAACATTAACATGCAGAGATTGCTAACTGTCCCTTAATATCCACCTTCCCTTTTTTACACAGTAATGAAAATTTCTGGGCATAGGACACAGTTGAAGAGCACATTTCACAGATTCCTTTGCAGCTAGGTGAAGCCATGTGACTTAGTTTTGGGCAATGGGATGCTAGCTAAAGTAGTGCATGCAACACTAGTGTGAAGGTATTAAAGAAAATGCACAAGTGCTTTAATTTCTCTTTAACTCAGCCCTGCTGCCTGAAAGGTGAGCATAACCATGACCATGAGATAAAAACTCCTTTTTTAAAAAGGGAAAAGCAACATGATTACAGAAGCTTGAGCTTCCACATCATAAAACTAATACATTAATCCAGACCTGCCTATTTGGATCATAACATCAGAGAAAAGAATACACCATGCTATTTAAGTCATCAAATTTTCAGTCTAACTGTATCCAAAGCCAGTATCTGATAATGGGAGCAAGGGAGAGAAAGGGAAAGAAAATGAAAATTGACTTTATTAAGTTCTTTTTTTTAATTTCAAAGTTTTATTCTATATACAAAATTTAAGATTTTTCTACTTTTCTAATAGAGACCTAAAGCCAATTTTCATGTTTATGTTTGTAATGTGTGTGTGTTGATCACATTTAATATTCTTTCAAATCTCATGGCTTTCCTTTATTAGGACTATTTTTAGAAATATAAAACTATGGTATGATAGATGACCTGCCATGAATCTAAGAAATCACTTCAAAATTTTATAGTTGAGAAAAAAGATATATGAACAATCTAAATTATGAGACCAAGGTTATTCTTATCAAAAATAATTAGGTCTTTTTCTAAATGGCTCATGAATGAAAACATTTTCTGAAGGAACAGAAGAAATTATGAAATAGAAAAAAGAAGATATTTTTAATTAAGATGCAGTATTTTCATAATAAAGTATATACTGCAAAATCAGTATGAACTGGGAAAAGCAGAGGGAAAACAATGACACAAAGTACATGAATAAACTCCTGAGTGGGCAACAGTACTTATAGTTAAGAGATAATGAATTCTGAATGCTTGTACAAGACTAATGCTTTCATCCAGAACAATCTACAGCCAACTGAAATGTCCTGGTAATGGGGCAGGGAGAGTCCCAGAAGTTCACACTGTATAGAAAAAAAGAGTTCAACTGGCTGTACAACATTTATTCCAATGAGAATTTAGCTAAAATTAAAAATCTATGTCATCTGTAAGGAAAAGTCAATGAGAGCAAAGCAACCTCGTAAAAATAATGGACCCATGCCTTCCCCCAAAACTGTATATAAACATTAACTTACATATTATACATATTAAATATTTCATTGGTTTGGAAACTGACAATTCTTTCACTGATAAAACACAAGGCAATATTTCAAAAAGAACCAGTTCTTCTTTAATATAAAAACTAGTAGTTACTTCCTTTTTAAAAATAGAAAAACAAAGAAAATTTGACATAAAGGTAAATTGAAATAAGTCTTATGTGACTTGAATACTCAAAATGTTCAAATTATGCAGTGATCTCCAACACAGACTTACACATATAAAACTTCCTGAATTGATGACAACAAATGCCCCCAAATCCTGACTCTACTAGGTATGAAACTGGTAGCAAATATACTTAGAACTCATGGAATATTCTTTGGGAGAGTAACTTTATGTCAACAACAGAATTCACTATAACTTTCTGAGTTGAATCTATGTTCATTCTTTTCTTGTAAGTATAAGAGGTTATTTTTGGCAACAATTAGATGTCTGTGTCATCAAGGAAAGGATTACAAATACCTTTTACATTATTAGGTCATCTAAAGCAAAATTAGCCTTAAAAAGTATTCTGCCATGTTTCCAATTGTCTGCATATTTTTGCCACCAAATGAATTTACAGGATACTGTCATTCTGAAATTCAATCCACAGAAGCACATCCTAAAGCACTACAAGATTCCCATGGAAGTTTGGCCAAATAAACTTGTGATTTTCTTTCTTTCTTTTTTTTTAACTTGTGATTTTCATCTGCATCCATGAAGCTGACTACAGAACCTCAAACTGAAAGTTTTACTACATTCAAACATATCCAAAAATATCTCTCAGGCAGTCATCAAAAACTCCTCCTCGTCAAACTGTTCTGAGAGAGTAGCCCTTTTTATCCTCATAGGCAAATTAATAAATAATGAGGTAGTTATCTAAACTGCACCATCGTGCTTCAGAGCATGAGCATTTGGGAACCCACACTCATCTGCATTACTAAGAATTTCTTACTCTGCTACTTTTTAACGAAAACCTGTTGAAAAATTAGTGTTTCAAGGCTTTGGCTCTGATGAAGTTGATTAATTTTGGGGTAGTAAGCAAACTATCTTTCAGGATTATTGTCACAGTTTTTGTGTCTGATATATGCTAAGCCAGTTGTACAGGACTTAAGTCATGACGACTTTCTTCACAAAGGCACTAAGATCAGATGTATCGCCAAGCACGCAAGTACTCCATCCATGCCCAATGGACCAAACCCTCCTTTTCATCATGTCAAAGATACTAAAACCCTTTCAAGTACCCAAAAGGTACCTCTCACACTCTTAATTTGTTATGCATCAGTATACACAAAACAGTTGAAAACCAGAAACTGCATGAAATAATGTTAATCATTACATACAAATGTTTGTTGAGTGGGAAATGGCATTACTCCCAATTTGACAATTATCTGCTTCAAAATATTAGAAGAAACCGTCAGCAGTCATATAATATATAACATCACCTGATTGTATTTAAGCCACAGGAAAGAAAATTTTGTGACAAATAATGAAATTTTACTAGCCATTTCGAACATTACTTACCCTATTTTAAATTATCATTTTTAAGGACCTCAACATATTGAAATTTACATAAATTGGCAGTTGAGTACAATAAGTATATATTTTCTAAACAGAAATAATTACTAAAGCCAGGCTTTCTGCATTATTCTATATAGGATAATATATATTTCAAAGTAATGATTCCATCTGTTGGTTCAAATGTTTCTCTAATTGGTGAAATCCCTTTAATCATTCTGAATTAAAGAGCTTTTTAAAAAAGAATTTTTAAAACTCAACTTAGTTCCAGTACAAACTGTCAATAACTATCTTTAAACTTAATGTCGTAAAGATGTCCCTCTTTTTCTTCTACTATAGATCTAATATCTGATTGATAAATGACTGACAGAAAATAATTCAACCTCCAGTTATATCAACATGAATTAAAATATACAAACAGTAAGCAGTACATTTTTCATAAATAAACCTTGATTTGCACTGATGTATAAATCAAACAGAACAAATAGCAGATATCCTTGTCTGTACAGCTTGCAAGCTTTGAAAAGGTTGGGTTGAAAGTTATTTCCTTCTATTTTAATATTTCTAATTTTGATAATGTAAATAAAATACCTTAATTTATAAACATATATCTTACTCTACCTAACTATATCATTTTGTAATTGCAAATACATTTTAATAAAGAATAAAACAGGTCATAATTGTTAAATATTCAAAGAAAAATATATTATTTTCTTTCTCAAAAATCAGTATTTTCCCAAATTCATTTCAATAAGCTTTGTCTCATGGTCTAAAACTTCTGACGTCATTTTTCAGAACTGCTCATTCATGTAATTATCTCAATAGTACTTAGTTTTAAAGCACTAAAAATGAAACATACTTTCCAATAATTATTTTTCACAATTCATGAATATAAAGCATTTAATGAATAACTTTGAATCATTTTTCCAGGCACTTTTCAAACTTTTGTTTCTGAGGTGTTTTGGGAATAATATGCTAGTTACTCAAATAATTTCTCCACAAGTACTCTCTGACATTTTACCACTTATAACATTATGGAAAGATTTACTTACTGAAACATCTTTCAAGTTTTTCTCAAAGGAGAAGTGACAAGACTCTTTAGAAAAATTAAACTTGTATGTGTCAGTTGGTCCTGCTCCTGACACCAATGCTTTTCTCAGTTCATCAACATATTTCTCTTTTTCCATTGCCATGTCATCAGCTTCTTGGGAAATCTCTGATTCACAAACTGTGAGAAAGAGTAATAAAAAGTCTTATTTGAAAATAAATTTCTAAACATAAGAAAAGATATATTTACCTGTTGCTACTAATTTATTATTATGCAACAGAAATTTAAACAAAAATAAAATCAATAACCACATCACACATTTTTAAGTCAAATTTTTTTGAGAAATACATTTAGTCTCAAATCTCATTAGACTCCTTGCATTCTTTCTCTGTCCTCAGATGAAATATATGGATTAGAAATTACCACAGAAACAACCATCTTGTGTACCTGCTCCAAGGTCATAGCAGAAGAAAGCATTTTCTTTAATGATTAATAAACTCAGTATTTTAAACCATCCTTCTTCCTTGACTCAATTATTATTAAAGAGACTAAGTAGTCCATAGTCCATTTCTCACTCACATAGGTAGAGTCAAATTAAAGTAAAAACAGAGTTCATTCTCATCTCATTATGTGCCAACAATAAAAAGAGTAGATGAAGAGAGTCGTATACTTAGAAGGAAAGGGAAGGGAATTAATATTTATTGTCTCCTCTATGGCATATATTATATTACATATCTGGCTATCAATTATCTCATCTAGGCATATTTAAAGCTGATGTTTTACTCATCCATAGTGATTTTTACCTCAACGATTTTATGTCCAAATTTCAGATCATTTTTTCTTTTTCATAATGTCCTGTCTGGCCTTCTTTTCAATATCTGAAGGATTAATATATATATATACACACACACACACATATAAGTTACATATATATATATATATATATATATGACATCTTATAGATCTCATTCAGATCAGTCTCTAGGTATGGTTCCTAAAGTATTAATTCCATTTCTTCTAGCTTCTGACACATTCTCATTCTGCTTTTTTTTCCCTTCTGTGCTTTTCGAAGTCTGAACATGGCTCTCCTCTAGCCAAAGTATCAAGTGATCTGGCAAACAGAGGTAGTCATAAATGAAGGCTGCTGGCTGGTCTTTGCTGGAGTCCTTACAGGTTTCACCAGTTCTGGATCAATTTTGGAAGTTAATTTCTTCACTTGGTTTTCACGCTTGCGGCAAATCTAAGCGAGCTCAAATGTAAGCCCCCCAGCCCTCACACACACAACACAGAGGCCTCTGATTTCTGCTGGGACTTTTAATTCACTCGTTACACTAAATGAGCTAAGGAGCCCTTACTGACTACTCTGAGTCCATGCTACATCTCCCAGCCAGGGTAGTTTTTTGTTTGTTATTTGTTGCTTAAAGATTTTATTAATAGGATCAATTCCAGGTTACTTTATCTTTACAGTTCAGCTCCAATTATTAAAAGGCCCGCCGTCTCAACAAGTCATCCCTCTCAGGTATTACAGCCACAGCCATTAGATGTGTATCTATTCAGAAGTCCGTGAACTTAGTTCTTTAGCTCCCATTAACTCTTTTGGTTTTCAGATACGTCTTCACACTCAGTACCTGGGGATTCTCTTTCTCATATTCAAAGACTGCAATGTGTCTGTTTACTTCCTTTTAAAATTACAAGATTTAATCTAATATTTATTTAGAATGTATGTGTGGTTGGGTGGTTTCCCATGTCAACTCGAGATCACAATGATGAAAGACCCATATAGTTCTATAGTTTTGCTTTTTTCTTAAAAAAAAGGTTACATTTATCTATTTAGGGGCTTCCCTGGTGGCTCAGCTGGTAAAGAATCCGCCTGCAATGCAGGAGACCTGGTTTCAGGGTTCGGTCCCTGGGTTGGGAAGATCCCCTGGAGAAGGGAAAGGCTACCCACTCCAGTATTCTGGCCTGGAGAATTCCATGGACTGAAGAGTCCACCGGGTCGAAAGAGTCGGTGAGCAACTTTAACTATTTTATCCCTTACAACAATGAAAGACAGATATTCTCATTTTACAAATGATAAAAGTAAGACTCAGAGAGATCAGGTAATGGTAAGGACCATGAAGAAGGTAAGTGATAAAACTGGGATTCAAACTTATAGCTCTCTGGTTGTTCTGGTTTGAGGTGAAACAGATATGGGGCATTAGATAAACTATTTACTTCCATATTAAAAATTAACACATTAATATGAAATAGTACATAAACAATAAAATCTTGATTAAAGAATCCCTAAAAATATAACTGCTCTCCATAACTTTGGTCCATGTGCTATCAACTGTCTGGAAGCCCCATGATGGACAATGAGGAAGAGAGTCTGGGAATGAATTCATGTATCTTTTATAATGAGTTTTTGATAAGTTCTTATATTTAAATATGAGTCTCAACACAGTCTCTGAAAAAAGGTAAGAATAAAAGTATTCCTGTGCAATTTTATAGCTTTTTTTTTTCACCTTTATTTTTTATTTTTTTTTATTATTTATTTTTTACAGCTTCTAAAATACTTTCACATATTTTTTTCTGCCTCTGAAGCATTGCACATTTAAGAAGATCACCAATATCAAATCTATTGATCTTTCAAATACTCTTTCAAATTAGCTCTTCTGAAAAAACATATAAAAAGACAAATGCTTTTTATCTGAGGAATAATTTCATATTTCCTGTTTGGATTGTTGTGAAGAGTATAGTACCTAGAGAAAGATATTATTGATATTTCACAGAGAAATAGGAAATAATCTATAGAAACTATCTTGAATGTAACTATAGAAAAACTTAAAGAAAACACACACACACACAAAAATGATAAAATGAACATATTTAGAAAACAGAAAGAGACTCAACAGACTTCAAAAACATATTTATAGTTACCAAACAGGAAAGGTGGGGGATGGGGGAGGGATAAATTAGGAGTTTGAGATGAACATATATACACTACTACATATAAAATAGCTAACCAACAAGGCTCTACTGTATAATACTTGGAACTCTACTCAATATCCTGTAATAACCTACATGGGAAAAGAATCTGAACAAAAATGGATATATGTATATGCATAACAATCACTTTTCTGTATAACTGAAACTAATACAACATTGTAAATCAACTACATTCCAATATAAAAAAATAAATAAATAATAAAGTATGTCTAATGATACAACATCTAGTAAAAAATATTTTAAATTTCATTACAATGAAAAGATAGTTTTCTGAAAATATTTAATGGAATATATTGATTCAATCCATTTATTGAACCCGCCTGCATTGTAGGAGACACAGGAGACAAAGGTTCAATCCCTGGGTTGGGAAGATTCCCTGGAGAAAGAAATGGCAACCCACTCCAGTGTTCTCACCTGGGAAATTCCATGGTTAGAGGCACATGGCAGGCTACAGTTCATAGGGTTGCAAAGAGTGGGACACAACTTAGCAACTCAACAACAAGTAAATTCTGAAACTGCTTAATGAGCATCTATTATGTGCCAGGCACTATTCTAGGCACCAGGGATACAACCATTAGACAGAGAAAAATTCCAGTCTTATGGAGCTTGGATTCAAGTGCTGACATCTTAGATATCTTTTCAGATATCCTTTTAGATACTATCTTAGTTATGCCCATCTGTTACTCCATCTGTGAATGCTGCATTGGTTACTGTTATGTATGAAATATTTCCTAAGAAGAAGAAAACATATGAAAGAAAATCATTTACATATACACCTCTCCTTTAAAAAATATGTTTTTTAAAAAAGGTACCAGTTTAAGAAAAAAAATGTACTTGAACATTTCCTGTAATAGTCCATGTGAAATTCTGACTGCCTATTTAGAACTTTAATCCTAAAAAAACAATTTGGTCACCAGTTTTGAATTTTGTGCTGGAGGAAGCACAGCTGTAAGCACTCAATGCTCCTTTTAAAAACTTCAACGACTGGGGATAAAAGCCATGGAAATAATAAAATTCAGTAAGGATACAGATGAATGACATAATATGGCATAAAAAGCGAGCAGGCCAACAAAAAATAAGGAATTGTTTTCAGGCAGGTAAGATAAAAGAAAGAATCACTTCGACAATATTTGTGGATAGGTGAAGATGAAAGTAAGGAAAGAAGGTTCTTTACTTTGGGTTCTGATGTAGAATGAACCGAAAGACTGTTTCTAAGTTTGTGTCAGAGCTGAGACGATACACAGACTTAATAAGTCATCACATCATGGACCCACTTTACTACTCCTCGTTCATTAAAAATTCTTTTTCTACTGAGCTCTGTCACATAATTTCCATATATGTCACCAAATATATCAGTGTTTAGAACAAATATAAGCAGATATAATTATTTGATAATAAAGGCATTGATAAAGTTTATTCTTCAGTGAATTTTACTCCAAGATGAGTGGTATAAGCTTCTTAATGCTGGCTAATTCTTATGAAAGTCAAATAACAGTCATCGATCATTAACCCACTTTGTGATTTAACCCTGTGATATAACCTTCTATAATGTTGAAGTGATGATAGACCACATGATAATTAGACCCCAAAACATTCATTAGATAAAACATTGCTAATGGAAAAGAAATCATGGAGTTTAGTGTGTGGGAGATTAAAAGGAACCCCACATCCTTTTAATTTCACTCAAATGAAAAGAGAAAAAAAATTACTCAAATTGAAGGTTTCAGAAATCAAAAAGTTGTACAAAAAACAGGATGAGGTATAGGAAGGAAATTCATTTTCATGTTTCAATTATTTAATTGTTTCAATGTTCTTAATCATCTTATTGTCTATCTGTAAAGTGCCAAACCAAATTACATTTACGTATAAGCTTTAACTAAACATGGAAACAATGTTATGCTACTTAGTTACATATTTTATAATTAAAATTCACTCAAGAAAATAAAAGTGAATAATAAAGGGTATTAAACATTTGTGAAACTGAAAACTTCAACATCATTGAAAACAAATGTCCATCTTCCAGTGCACTGTAAAATTTTCTGTTTGAAAGCTTGTTCAGTACAGGAAGCCAAAATCTTAACAATATTTGTCATGAAGTGATGGGACCAGATGCCTTGATCTTACTTTTCTGAATGTTGAGTTTTAAGCCTACTTTTTCACTCTCTTCTTTTACTTTCATCAAGAGGTTCTTTAGTTCTTCTTTGCTTTCTGCTATAAGGGTGGTGTCATTTGCATATCTGAGGTTATTGATATTTCTACCGGCAACCTTGATTCCAGCTTGTGCTTCATCCAGCCCAGCAGTTTGCATGATGTACTCTGCATATAAGTTAATTAAGCACAGTGATAATATACAGCCTTGACATAACCTTACCCAATTTGGAACCAGTCTGTTGTTCCATGTCCAGTTCTAACTGTTGCTTCTTGACCTGCACACAAATTTCTCAGGAAGCAGATAGGGTAGTCTGCTATTCCCATCTCTTAAAGAATTTTCCACAGTTTGTTGTGATCCACAGTCAAAGGCTTTGGTGTGGTCAATAAAGTAGAAGTACATGTTTTTGTGGAAATCTCTTGGTTTTCTGATTCTGATGTTGGCAATTTGATCTGTGGCTGCTCTGCCTTCTCAAAATCCAGCTTGACTACCTGGAAGTTCACGGTTCATGTATTGTTGAAGGCTGGCTTGGAGAATTTTGAGCATTACTTTGCTAGCATGTGAGATGAGTGCAATTGAGAAGTAGTTTGAACATACTTTGGCATTGTCTTACTTTGGAATTGGAATGAAAACTGACCTTTTCCAGTCCTGTGGCCACTGCTTAGTTTTCCAAATTTGCTGCCATATTGTCTGCAGCACTTTCACAGCATCATCTTTTAGGATTTGAAATAGCTCAACTGGAATTCCATCACCTCCACTAGCTTTGTTTGTAGTAATGCTTCCTAAGGCCCACTTGACTTCACATTCTAGGATGTCTGGCTCTAGGTGAGTGATCACACCATCATGATTATCTGGGTCATGAAGATCTTTTATTTCTTCTTTGTATTCTTGCCACCTCTTCTTAATATCTTCTGCTTCTGTTAGGTCCATACCATTTCTGTCCTTTATTATGCCCATCTTTGCATGAAATGTTCCCTTGGTATCTCTGATTTTCTTGAAGAGATTGCTAGCCTTTCCCATTCTGTTGTCTTCCTCCATTTCTTTGCACTGATCACTGAGGAAGGCTTTCTTATCTCTCCTTGCTATTCTTTGGAATTCTCCATTCAAATGGGAATATCTTTCCTTTCTCCTTTGGCTTTCATTTCTCTTCTTTTCACAGCTATTTGTAAGGCCTCCTCAGACAACCATTTTGCCTTTTTGCATTTCTTCTCCTTGGGGATAGTCTCGATCACTGCCTCTTGTACAATGTCATGAACCTCCATCCATATTTCTTCAGGTTCTCTATCAGATCTAATCCCTTGAATCTATTTGTCACTTCCACTGTACAGTTGAAAGGGATTTGATTTAGGTCATACCTGAATGGTCTAATGGTTTTCCCCACTTTCTTCAATTTAAGTCTAAATTTGGCAATAAGGAGTTCATGACCTGAGGCACAGTCAGCTCCCAGTCTTGTTTTTGCTGACTGTATAGAGCTTCTCCATCTTTGGCTGCAAAGAATGCAATCAATCTGATTTTGGTATTGACCATCTGGTGATGTCCATGTGTAGAGTCTTCTCTTGTGTTGTTGGAAGAGGGTGTTTGCTATGACAAGTGTATTCTCTTGGCAAAACTCTGTTAGCCTTTGTCCTGTTTCATTTTGTACTCCAAGGCCAACTTTGCCTGTTACTCCAGGTATCTCTTGACATCCTACTTTTGCATTCCAGTACCCTAAAAAGAAAAGGACATCTTTTTCGGGTGTTAGTTCTAGAAGGTCTTGTAGGTTCTTCAGAGAACTGTTCAACTTCAGCTTCTTCAGCTTTACTGGTTGAGAATAGGCTTGGATTACTGTGTTACTGAATGGTTTGCCTTGGAAACAAACAGAGATCATCCTTTCATTTTTGAGATTGCACCCAAGTACTGCATTTCAGACTCTTATTGACTATGAAGGCTACTCCATTTCTTCTAAGGGATTCTTGACCACAGTAGTAGGTATAATGGTCATCTGAGTTAAATTCACCCATTCAATTTTATTTCACTGATTCCTAAAATGTCGATGTTCACTCCTGCCATTTCCTGTTTGACCACGTCTAATTTACTTTCTCGGACCTAACATTCCAGGTTCCTATGCAATATTGTTCTATACAGCATCGTACTTTACTTCCATCACCAGCTGCATCCACAAATGGGTGTTGTTTTTGCTTTGGTGCCATTTCTTTTTTCTTTCTGGAGTTATTTCTCCATTCTTCTCCAGTAGCATATTGGACACCTACTGGACCTGGGGAGTTCATCTTTTGGTGTCATATCTTTTTGCCTTTTCGTATTGTTCATGGGATTCTTAAAGCAAGAATGTTGAAGTGGTTTGCCATTCCCTTCTCCAAAGGACCATGTTTTGTCAGAACTGTCCACCATCACCTGTCCATCTTGGATGGCCCTAAACGGCATGGCTCATAGTTTCAATGAGTTAGCCAAGGCTGTGGTCCATGTGATCAGTTTGATTAGTTTTCTGTGATTGTGGCTTCCATTCTGTCTGCCCCTCCTCTGAGAGATAAGGATAAGAGTCTTATGGAATCTTCCTGAAGGGAGAGACTGACTGTGGGGAAAACTGGGTCTTGCTTTAATGGGCGGGGCCAAGATCAGTAAATCTTTAATCCAGTTATTACCAAAGACAAAAAATCAAAAGTCTATTTCAAAAAATAATTGCCAAAAACCCACATATGGGTTTGAACCTTGGTTTACAAAATTTTAAGCTATTATTAAACAGTTCTGTTTCATTTTGTTATAAATGTAGTGTATGTTCACTGGAAAATAATTCAAACAAAATATGAAATAAAAAGAAAACAAACACCACTCCACTTTCCCAAGCTTTGGCCTACCTAATTCACCTTCCTGTTCCTTTCAGCATTTCCCTGGGGTGCTAAGAAATGATACATATAAAAAATACTATTTTGTATGTTTTATATAAAGAGATAATTTTTAAAACTCTGATCAAGTACTATGACTCAAAAGGGTATTTTTCCTCATTTCTATTAATGTCACTTATAGAAAACAGCATTAAAATTACAAATCTATGTGTAAATTGGACAGCAATAACAAGTAAATGTTAATTTTAACCAATATCAATTAAATATTTAATTTGAAGTATCACTGAGGACTGAAATATAGCAATTACATTAATTTTCCTTTAAAAAACTAACTTTTAATATTACCTGTCCCAGTCCATGCTGACTGCCCATCAGTAAGTGTAATAACAAAACCAGATCCTAGTGTTTTCTCCCAAGCAACTTGTAGAAAATGATTTATATCAGGTTCAGAAGCAAGACAGATTCTGCTTACTTTTCTTTCCATTTCTGAACACCTGTCATAAAAGAAAAAAATAAATATTTTTGTGAGAAACTGTGACTATCAAATAGTGACTTTTCTGTATTGGTCTCTTGAGTTATACAAAGCACTAAGGAAATACATAAAACAAAAAGTTGTTTAATAGCCAACCATAAACTCAGTAAATCACAGTTCTATTCAATATCAATTCACAATTTTAACCAATAAGAAAAGCAGAGACTCATAAATGACAAATGATTTGTGCAAGGTGTATAGCTGAATAAAAATTACTATCGTCAACTTTTTAAAAAACTTAATATTGAAGTATTTATATCCAGGCAGAAGTACATATATCTAAAATCCAACTTGGAAGATTTTCAACTGAACAAATCCATATAAGCAGTTCCCATCAAGAAGCAGCACATGATGACCCCAGAACTCATTCTTACAACACCCCACTTCCAGTCACTATGTCCCCCAAAACCACTTTCTTAACTGAGATTTGAGTTTTATTTTTGCACTTTCACATAAATGTAATACAACATTTTATTTGTGTCTGGGTTCTTTTGTTCAGCATTATGTTTAAGAAATGCATCCATATGGTTTCTTAGAGTTGTAGATCATGCTCACAATTGTACAATATTCAATAATATGGTACAATTATTTATCCATTTATCCACTAGTGACAGGCATTTGAGTACATTCCAGGTTTTGACTATCACAAATAGTGCTGTCATAGACATGCTAGCAAATATCTAAGTTTTTCTGTTGGGTATGTATCTATGAGTTTATGCATGTAATTTGTGAATTAGAGGGTAAGCATATGCTCAGTTTTAGTACCATACAGCCAAAAATTGTCTAAAAGGTTTGTACCAGTTTACACACTTGGTATATGAGAGTTCTGATCACTCCATATTCTTAGAAACATTTCCCATCTTTATAATTTTAGCCATTTTGGTGGGTATGTAATACTACATTGTGGTTTATTCACATTTCCATAATTACTAAAGATGTTGAATTCTTTTCATATCTTGATTGCACTTTGAACACCCTGCTTTGAGGAATATCTGTTAAATCTTGCCAATGCTTTTATTAAGTTGTATTTTTCATATTGACATTCTTACTGAAATCCTCTGCCACCCTCTTCTTTTGCCTTCAATCTTTCCCAGCATCAGTGTCTTTTCTAATGAGTCAGTTCTTTACATCAGGTGGCCAAAGTTTTGGAGCTTCAGCTTCAGCATCAGTCCTTACAATGAATATTCAGTTTGATTTCCTTTACAATTGACTGGTTTGATCTCCTTGCAGTCCAAGGGACTCTGAAGAGTCTTCTCCAGCACCACAATTCGAAAGCATCCCTTCTTTGGCACTCAGCCTTCTGTACGGTCCAACTCTTACATTGTATATGACTACTGGAAAGACCATAGCTTTGACTCTATGGACCATATGGATGTTCTCCTATGTTTATCTAAAAGTTTTATAACTGCATGTTTCATATTTAGATCCACAATTCATCTGGAACTGAATGTACATCAATTGTCAAGAAGAGATCAAACTAGATTTTTTCCATGTGGATATCTAATTGACCCAGTAGTATGTATTAAAGACTGTCCTGTCTTTCTGCAATGCTAGGTTACCTTAGTCATAACTCATGTGACTGAACATGTGTACAAGGTTCAACTTTTGTTTTGTTTGTTCTTTGCAGGTGTGCAATTTCATATTATATATTTGGCTTGTCAAGGTTACACTGAATAGTGATTCTGTTACTGTGATCCAACACATTCATAATCTCTCTATGGCTTTGCCATTTAAAAATTCGATAAACCTCTAAGTATTAAAATCATTTATGTAAAACATTGAATAGGACAAGCTGAAGCATTGGACTTCTGTGGCTTGCCATTAGAAACAAGCTTCTCGGACATCAATTGCTATTATTAGGTGGGTGTATTGCTCGTACCACCATATAAGTCATAAGGGTACCAAGAGCGTCCTTTGCAAAACCTTAAGCTATAGAAGGGCTTCTCTGGTAGCTCAGCTGGCAAAGAATCCACCTGCAATGCAGGAGACCCTGGTTCAATCCCTACGTTGGAAAGATCCCCTGGAGAAGAGATAGGCTACTCATTCCAGTATTCCTGGGCTTCCCTGGTGGCTCAGGCAGTAAAGAATTCGCCTGCAATGAGGGAGACCTGGGTTCAATCCCTAGGTTGGGAAGATCCCCTGGATCATGGATCCAGGACATGGCAATCCACTCCAGTATTCCTGCCTGGAGAATCCCCATGAACAGAGGCGCTGAACAGGCTCCCCATGTGTCCATGGGGTCACAAAGAGTTGGACGTGACTGTGCAGTGAAGCATGGCACAGCACAACAAGCTGTAGAAGCTGACAAACAAAACTAAAGAAATACCATAAAAATGACAGATATGCCAAGAAAAAACATAAGTCCAAACCAGGAACAATGTACACACTTCAAAGATGAAAAACTGGAGAGAATTATTCTTTAATCACATAGCATGAATCTCTTACCAGATGATCCTAAAAAAGGTAAAAGAATACTCTCCAATCTTTTATTTGGGGGAAGAGTATAAAATTGTCTCAAATTATTAAGACCAATTTAAATAATATGATATTCCAAAGGTAAATTATTAATTGCTATTTCATTAGTAACTGATAAGTTTTCATCAAAGCCAAACTGTTAAGCTATTTTAATTTGCTTTCTCAATTTAAAACTATTATGTTCTCATAAATAAAGCATCATATTTCTCTCAACAAGTGAATATGAAAATAAAAACAACTCATTCTGTCAGCTCTTCCCAAAACTAACCTGATTTCTCTATCTGCTAGGGGGTCAAGAGGCATGCTTAATTATATAATGCTAGAGCTGTACTATCTTAAATAAAAAGTACAAGGAAGCAGAGAAATGGCCAGAATGAAAGAAAAAAAATCTAAAATTAACAGTGTAATATACCTCTAAATTGATGAATTAGCAATAATATCTACCTAAAGTTTACTCAGAAATTATTCTTCTTCCCAGTGAAAAAACAGTTATAAGATAACTATACTTGCAGTCACATCAATTAAGTATGTTAACACATGTAAATTTGTAGGTTTGACTACAACATAATCACTGAAAAAAAAAATAATTGTTAAAATATTTCATTTAGTCAATTTTTCCTACATTGAGGTCTTCTTGGCCTAGAGGTACTTAATTCTGAAATGCTTCATCCACTTGTAACTATTTTCTTTTAAATCAGTAAGTGAATACACTAAACATGCAGTAAATTACCCCACATGCTCTGTAATTCCCAAATTTGAAAATGACTGGAAAATGTGTTACTGCTTTTCTATGCCAATCATTGAAAAAGACTTAGAAGCTTACATAATTCTAATGGACCCAAATCTCACAATTCTGGGAGGGCAGAAGGTAATACAAACTACTGATATAGGCCCTTTTTTTTTTTTTTTTGCCTCTACAGAATGTACATACATACACAAAGATACACACACATTTATATAGACCATTTCTTCTTAAAATGTGCCTGAAGAACCCTGGTTATTGTTACCATTACAGCAACTCAGAAATACCCTAAGACAGCAATTGGTATCACTGCGATTTCTTAGCTGGCTTGAAACAAGTAACACATATCTAATTATAGAAAAAAATAATTTAAAATTCAATATTCCAGATGCCTATCAGTAAATCCTACTTTCCACAATAACAAAAAGGCTTTAATCTCAGTAATGTTAAAAAGACTTTCAGGGGTCATATTAGTTTTGAGATCTTTGAATTATTTATGTTTGAGATATTTTCCAATTTTCTGATTAACTCTAGATACTCACCACAGAAAATAAACCGGATGACCAAACTAAATAAACTAAATGAAAGCAAAATAAATGATTTTATTTTAAAGATTTGAGTAAACTCATATTTACTCTAGTTTACTCTAGTAAACTCATATTTGAAATTTTGGACGTTACCACACTTAAGGACTTGATATATTAAAAGTCCAAATTTAACAACTCAGTATCCTATAAGTATTTTATGGCTCAATAGCCTTATAAATGTTTTCCTTATATCAACTGAGTCTTAATTTCCTTATATACTATTTGAACCAATTTTGAAAGCACTTCATTCAGTTACTTACTGAGGTCACCATCTCATTAAATATAAAATACAAAATTTCTAAGACTCAACCACAGAAGCAGAAAAAAAGATGACTTGGAATGTCTTTTAAGATTCAGTAAGAACAAATCAAGGATCTCTTTGCTTTCACCAGCACTGTTAACGGAAATAGCCATGGGGTTTTTTGCCCCAAGACTAGTACTTGAAGAAAGGGGGTGGAATCCTCTTTGGAAAGACTGATTGATCAGGGCCATAAGAAAGCCTGTGTTTTGTTTTCTAAGGGCACTAAAGGTCAGACTAGTATCAGCACCTCTCCCAGCCAGAGCCACAGATCTAAGACAAGCTTGCAGGTGGAAACAGTTGGGTCCCACCCCAATTTGTACATCAGTAGCTTTATTGAGAGCTCAGAACAGTTGAGAATTGAGAAGCTTATCTTTAGTACTTTGTATCTTTGATACTTGGCTTCTCTCTTAGAAGAGAAATAAGTTGTTGGCTGGTATGCAATTGATGTGATCTAGACTCTGAACAAATACCATTCACAGTTGCTTCTGAATAAACAAGACGCTTTTTAAATTAGTTTACAAAGAATTTTGTATGCCCTTTTGGATGCTGATAAGAAGCCATGCAGAAGCCAAGTCTCTTAGGTCAGCTCAAGTTAGGGACTACACTGAATCATTGATAACACCATTTTGAACTTGAACTTCTTTCATTTTCCTTTATAGTAAGTTATGGCTTCCTTTCAGGCTGCTTGGGCTGCAGGTGTTCAAACTTCTGCAGCTAAGCCAAGGAGTTGTACTTACAGATCAGAAAAGGCTAAATGCATGTTTCTAATGAAGCAATTAACTTAAGTGCCCCCTTGTTGAGAAAAGTAGGCTGATACCTAAAGTGAGTTCAGAATAAAGATTAGTAC